TATATATATATATATCCCTTTATAAAGCAAAGCCTCCCAGACCATTGGGGTTTTGGTTTATAACACTAAGCTTCACCCCAACCCCTCACTCAGGTTTTCCTACTAACTAACTCAGCAAAAAGAACATAAATGAAAAGAGCTAGGATGCTTTAATACTATTTGTTTGAAATTCTTGTTGTCCACGTATTATGATTTATTGACTTGTTGATGCACGTAAACTGGGTACAATTTGCTGCCAGCTCTATGTTAAATGGTGATCAAGGCTTTTACAAAAGAATTGAACAAAAATTTTTAAGAACTTTGAGGGAAAAAAAAAAGTGCTAGGAGAATTTATCTGACCTTCCTTGGCGACTAGATTTGTCTCCAGACAGGACAGCTATCTCGTCTTTCAGGCCTTGGATCTGTTTCTCATACACCCCGTACGCCTCTGTGTCCCGCTGGTCTGTGTTCTGCCTGGTCAAACCCTTCTGCTCAGTTCTGTACTGCTCTTGGTGCCTAGGTGCAGAGCTCCTTTGGCGGGCAGCCTCCTGGGCTTGAAGGGATTTAAGCCTGAATAGTGGGGGTTGGGGGAGAAAAAGACAGGGAAGGGAAAAGGAGAGGAGGGAAGGGAGGGGAGGGGAGGGGAGGGGAGGGGACAGAGGGAGGGAGGGAGGAAAGAGAAAGCAGGGACAGGGAAGGGAAGAAAAGGGTGATAAGCAAGAATTGATGTGCTTAACATCATTAGTTGTGACTCAGTATGCCATTATTGCACTAGAAAACTGCTGGAAATACACATGAACAAACACAAAGCAGAGAGGAACAGAACTGCCAGAGTCAAGGTCTTGGTACACATCTGCAGCTTGTGTGGGAAAAGGTTCCTAAAGAAAGAACACTCAGCCCGGGGAGATAGCTCAGGGGCATAAGCACCTGCCTGGCAAGCTCAAGGTCCTGAGTTTGATCCCCAGTACCAAAAAAAGAAAGAATACTCATTCAGGTTCCCTAGGAAAAATAGTGTGGACCTACAGTCATACAGTCCACGGCACACTGGAGTCTTCTCAACTTCACAAAACTCTGAAAACATTTGACCTTCAAAACCTACACCAGAACTGGTCTAAGATATAATCTCCTACCCTCAATAGTTCTCTGAGCACATGGCTTTGCAGGGAGGGGAGTGGATCTATGAAAATAATATAGCACAGAAAAAAATTTTTAGAAATAAAAATAGTGTTCTGATTATAATCCAAAGAGGCATGGCCACCATAGAACAGAAGCAGAAGTGATAAGGAACACACTGTGATGAAAATGGCAACGGTATAAAATGAAAAGGTAAGAGGTAAATTAAGAAAAATGCAGAGAAGCTAAAAATACAATGGGATCAAAAGCTATACTAAGGGCCAGGGAGATGGCTCAGTGGAATAAGCACTTCCCTGGCAAGCGCAAGGGCCTGAGTTCAATCCCCGGTTCTGAAAAAAAAAAAAAAAGCTATACTAAAAAACAGTAAAGAACTGAACAGGAGCTATGGGAATCAATGAGAAATATGACTGGTGAATTTGAGAAAGTACCAAATAGAAAATAGAAATTAAGATGATGTTGAGGGAGAAGGCAGAGGTCAGCAATAGAACTGTGTTCCAAGATAAGATCTATAGGTCTTCCTGAAGAAATCAAAACAGCAGGCACATATATGAAAATGTGGGTGTCCGTTGGCATGGGGGGATCATAATTAAGATCAAAGAAGGTTCAGACTTAAAGGATCTGTTACTTCTTCTTCTAGAAACTAGTCTTCAGGAAATAATACGAAATTTAAACTAAAATGTTCCACAATGCTGATTCCAGCTTTGAAAATTAGTGTCGAAGTAAATACTCAAATAAGTGAAATATCCAAATAATGAAAAATCATGAATCCATCCAAAACTAAGTTCTGCAGTATTTTCTCCTTAGTGATAGAAGAAGCTAATGTCAATGAAAAGGTAAGATCCAAACATTTATCCTTATATATATTATTCTCTATTCTTTACTCTTTTTGACATATTAATTAGAAGGAATATCAAATGGTAACAGTAACTATCCTTAGAAAGATGAAAAGATTTTTAGATTCCTTTTAACTATCTTGTCAATAGTAGATAGATAGTATGTTTGTAGTATGAAAAATATGTAAGACATTAATTAAAAATATTGCTACCTTTTCTCTTTGATTGAGACCAGATTCTTTCGTGTAGTAATGGGACACCAGAAAAGTTAAACTCAACAATTAATCAGCAGGCTGCAATAATCCTATCATTTTTTTCTTACTGCTTTTTTAGCTGATTTATTTCCTCCTCTGCAGCCAAAAGGGATATGGCCGAGCTCTTCTTGGTTTCTTCAAGAGCCTTTCCAGTTTCAGCCAGACTGTAAAAGAAATCAGTAACTAAAGACAGATTTTTCAAAATTGGCAGGCTTTCCAAATCAAGGCATGGGTTCTCTTGGGAATTTCTGGCATATGATATAAATTCAACATAAACAAAATCAAATTATAAGACATCTGCATCTAATCAACCAATCATGCAAATATTGTGGTGGATGTTATGCAACAACACTCCAGCAGGCTTTGTCCATGTCAAACACGAAGAAATCACCAAACTACTACCCTTCAAAGATTATTAATAAGTATTAATGTTGGAATATAAAAGATAAGAAAATGTGTTTGATTCCTCCTTCTCAGCCTCCTAATTCATCTACTCTAACTGTACTTAATCTCTAGGTGCCTCTCCACATACAATATCCATTTTTTTCAGGAATATACCAATATCCATTCTCATTGTCGTGCATTCCAGGGCTGCACTTGCCTAATTTTTTCCAGACTTCCTAAATGTAAAAAACGTGTTTGCCCACCTATAACAAAAGCCTGCCAGAATCACACTGGCTACACGTACTTCCTACCTTTCTACCTCTGACTTCTACCTGCTACTAAGCTAAATTCAGTTAGTTTTCCACATAGCTGCTGCCACTGTGAGTTTCACGAAAACTGTCGTAGGCATTCCTAATAAGGCAGCTATTGTTTCTTTAGGTCTCTCTAAATTTAAAGATAAATGGATAAAATGAAGTTGCCCTTTACAATGAGACCACATGGGCATTATTTCTTTGACCTGCCCCCGCCATGTCCAGGTGCTTTCACCACAGCAGGCCTGAGGTGAAATCCTGCTACAGCTTAGACCTTACTGTCTGCCCAAAGCCCATGTATTGAAAGCTTGGTCCACAGTTGAAGGCACTATTACAGACAGCTAAGTGACATAAAAATTAGTACACATTCAAAAAAAATAGACCCTCAAAGAAGTCAGCACAAAGATAAACCAATCAGAACTATGGCTGGATCCTCATCTAAACGCCAGGCCTTCAGATAAAGATGCAATGGCCAGGCTTACAACTCCCTAAGGAATAAACAGTAATTTGGAATTATAATGTAATTAGCACCACCTGGCCCAGAAAGTCCAGATGGGCTTCAGTCGTCCACGTGAGTGGCCAGAGCATCTGGGCCTGTCCCTTCTCCGACCTGCCTCTGTTCTTCCTACATACCCTTGCCACATGCCCCACTTGTCTACTGGACCAATATTAGCTACGTAGCTATACTTGTGATCCTCTAGGTTTACTATAGTTGCATCTGCGTTGTACCTACGTTGGGACTTTGCTGTACAAATCATCCTTACAGAGCCAGGTATGGTGGCTCACGCCTACCCTCCCAACGCTCGGGAGGCCCAGGCAGGTGGCCTGATGTGAGTTCAGCACTAATCTGAGAGACATGGCAGGTTTAAAGCAGCTCGAAATACACAGTCAGACCCTATCTCTATGATAAAAACGTAGAAACTAAACGACTCTCACAAAGAGCTTTGGTGGCCACCTATTCAGGACCTCTCCTGGAAATCCAGAAGCTCTTCTATTATTTCCAGTAAAACTCTAACTCGTCCTTTGTTGTTGTTGTTTTTGCAATGTATTAACTATTTTTTAATTAGCTTTATTGAGAAACAAATAGCAATGAGACAGTTTCAAAACCGATTAGTGGGATAGTTTCAATAATTAATACACTGCATATTGTTGTCTTCTTAATGGTTATTCATAGTACAAGATGCAGACATGATATCCTGTCCACAAACACTATTAGAACAAATCTTTCTATTCATTGAATTAAGAGAAAGTAGTTGTATATCTATCCTAACTATTTTGAATATGCAGATACAAAATGGTCCTTCATTTGTATCTCCTTTTCTTGTTTAGTTTGGTCAAAGAAGGGTATTCCATTGTCATTTAAATATTATAGGTGCATGAATTCAGCAAAATATTCCAATATAGTCCAGTAGTCCATAATAGTAGTGGTTTATCCATAGGACTGGCAATGTCAGAAGTTATTGACTTGAGACTTTTACAGTTCAGCATATTAATATGGCTTTACTTTTTATACCTCATTTTTATACTTTTCTGCTGGATGGTTAAGACCAAGATAAAGCAAGACCTACATAACAAGAAATGTAACTTTTATATCTGACAAGGTCAGTCAAATCCCCTCAGGATTTATTCTGAAACCCTGTACCACAGTTCGTAGATCCTTTGCCAGTGTCAGTCATGTGGATGAATCATGGCCATTGCTTGACCAATTTGCTCTCTGTGAAAACCTGAGAGAATGTTTTCTCTCCATGTGACTCTCCTTAGGCACACTCCACATCATCAAGCACTTTCCTCTGTGGCCCCATAATCTCCTTGATCAGTAAATTTGGGACACAACTGAGTTACAGGATGTTACAGTACAGGTTCTCCTGTGTCCTGAGTCCTTACTGACCTTTAAAGCTTAGGGCCAAAATGTTGGCTGTCCTTGTAGCCCTTCTTTTTCTCTAATTTTTGGTCTGCAAACTTAGTCTGTTAACCCGCCAGAAAAGGAGTTTAACGATATTATTACCCTCTAACATAGGCAGTTGAGCTTAACCTCACTGTCTGTCTGAATATCAAACATAACCTCTTCCTTTGGTTCTCAACTTCATTCCTCAATATTATGAGACCACGAATGTGGCACACTTGATATCTAACAGGCCAGGAGTGTCTTCTATTTCCACCAAGATTTCTCTGTATGTTCCCAGCATGATACTTAGCCTTGACACAAGGCCAAGTAAGGCCAAGTGACCAAAGTGACCACGGACTGAAACCATTGGCCAAAATAAGCTTTCTTCCTCTTTATTAAATTATCTTGAGTATTTTGTCACTATAGTGGAAATCTATCACAAACCTTCACCTGCGTAGTGAAACAGATTGAAAAACAATGGGGTAAAAGGTTGCTATTAATTTCCTAGATCACAGCCAATCAGAAGACACCCCAAATTGTATCTCACCCACCCTCCTCCGCCAATCCACATGCTGCCCTGATTTCAAGCACAGGCTCTTCCTTTCTCCTCAACTGTCACATCTATCTCACTGCATTTTCACTGTAAAGTACCTGAGAGTAAGCATTTGATTTTGTCTTTACTCCAGCAATGAACACACAAGGTCTTGCTAAAAATGAAAGATGAAAGAATAAATAAAATGTCTGCAAAGTAGCAACAAGTTTAAAGAATGGTTGCTGAACTTGAAACCAAGGTGATTTCATTCAAATATGAGTATGTATTGATTGCTTTTAAGTAGATATGAGAAAACGAATGTTTTATCCAAAATGAACTATAGAAATGAAAAAAAAGCAAAGAAAATGGATCAAGAAAGAAAGGAAAACATGAACAGGAACATGTATTTTTTTCCTCCTGACACACAGTATATACTCATGAGCACACATACATATAAAACAAACATACACACTAACTTCACTTGCCTGGATGACATATAGAGAAGAGGAAGTGAAGTATCTTCATGTGCCAAGAATTGTTTTAATCAAGGTAATATTCTTTTTTTTTTTAAGGTAATATACTTTAGTTCACTATTTTGTTGTGAATTTATTTATTCATAATGCAAGTGATTGAGCACTTACTTTGGCCCTCAGAATTCTGGACATAAGATAGCATCGATGTGGCAATGCTAGATGGTGGACACTTTTCTAGTCTTCTGGGGGAGGTGGACCATCAATAAGCAGACCTGCAAACAGGTCTGTTTGGTAACGTTCCTGTATGTGTAATTGCTCATAGGAGAAAAAGCAGATCACTATGAAAGAGAATTAGAGAAATGAAGAAAGTCTTCTCAATCTAAGATGGTCACAGATTCTGACCATCACATTCAAGCGGAGACATGGAGCACAATAAAGTGTCAGTTATGCAAAGAGCCTGGGACACTTGGATGTCCTTTCAGGCCAACAGCACAGGCACCAAAGCACAAGCTCCAAGATGTGGGAGGGTCCCAGAGAATGACATGAGATGAGAGAGGAGTGGAGGCAGGGCCAGGTCAGGCAGGACACTGAGAGCCATGACAAGGAAGCCAGACCTGTTTTCTAAGTACAGCAGGAAGATACAACAGCTTTCAACCCAGGAGAGGGTTGATTTAGTAAGACGCACCTTGTGTATATTTGCTATGTGGAAACAAGTTGATGTTGATCAAGAATGGAAGCAGGGAAGCTGGAAGCTGGAAGACAGCTATGTTGTGCAAAATACCAGAGATATCATGGACATGACAGCTTTGAACTAGGGCAGTGGCAGTGGAGGAAAGAGAAAGGGACAGGTATGAAAGAAGCTTTGGAAGGAGATCCGCTGCACATTCCAGTAAACTGGATACGGGAGATGAGGGAAAACCACATTCACAACCAGAACCTAGATATGAAATCTGGAAGTCTTTCCTTGTCTAGGGTCTTTTTAAACCTGTACAGACCTGTCCTCTCATCAGATCTTTACAATGGAAATGAGCAGAATCAAACTAGTCTCCACAAAGTTCCAGCCGGAGAACTCGTTGTCCAGACTGCTCATTCCAGGGCAGGCAGTACATGGCCTTAAGAGACAAGGAAAGTAAGAGCAAAGAGGGAGCTGGCTGCCCCAAAGTCTGCGAACAGATCCTACCCCTTAGGACACAGTAAACAGAAATAGGAAGTAAGAAGCACAGTGGGTTACAACTCAGGAAATTCAGAGGAAAGCAGCAAGCTCCGTGGTGTATGCAACCCTGAGGTGATTCTAGGAAGGGGATATGTATGTTCAGTAACACCTCAGTCATCCAACAGCTCTAAACTCAAACTTTCCACCACTCAAACAGCAAAATTCAAAACCATGTGCTCAACGTAGGTACCTCTGCTCAGTGGTGGAACTAGACCTACACTGGCAGTGAGGCAAGCGTCACGTCTCACCGCAGACGCGAGGGGGCGCTGCTGCGGTCTAAGTACACTCACGCAGACAACGCGCAGTGTTCATTAAGTGCATGTGTTCATTAAAGCTCTCAGCAGTGTGCTTTTCTTCACTTTATTTGCCTAAAATATCATAACCATGGCTCCAAAGGAAGTTAGTGATACCAGCAGTAAAGCTAAGAGGAAAACCACATAGAGCTAAAGAAGAAATCCGTGTGAAATTTGTTTAAATCCTAGAAAAATGAATTTCTAAGTGTGATCTGAGGGCCTCAGAACCAATTATTTGGTACTCCGTTATTTCTTATGGGAAAAATATATTTGGTTCTTAAATTTTGCAGTGTTTAAATACAAATAGGGGCCAAACTGAATTCAACAGAGTTATCACTGTATATAGATCAAGCACACACATAAATCATAAAGCAAATGAATAGGAAGTTGTATGTTGATAGGACTAGTCTTACAAATTTTCTGAGATAATTTCCAAACGTGTTTTTAAAAGAGCATGCATTCACAAAAGTTTCTTGGACCCTGGTGCCCCTCGTGGGAAACAACAAAGTTACTATAACGAGAGAGGGAAGTGGGAAAGCCTGGTCCCTAGCAGCACAAACATAGGTCTGGACCAGCAAAGTCCTGAAGCCCTGCTTCATAACCAGGGTGGGGGCTGGACCCTTATGGGGTCCACAGCAGTTACCAGCTGGCATCCCAGGAAACCTACCAGACAAGGCACAGCTCAGGAACCATCAGCACATGGGCACACACGTGGAACCCAGCCTGCAGGAACGGACAGAGCATCACAAAGCCAAACGCCTCACCGCAGCACAAAGAGAATATGCAGGTCATTATCCTGCATGCCAGTATCAACAAGGATCAGAGGAAAGGAGTCCCCATGAAAGGACAAAAGCAGCTTGGAAGGGAAGCATGCATGCGGAGTTGATCGTACCTTTTGCCTGACGTGGACTCCTACCTACAAGTGGGCAAATGAAAGGATCAACTGACATGGGTCAAAATTTGTAGAGATTCAGGGAAACTACACTCTGCGTGTTATAGCTGGACATGTTGGCTGCTGCAACTGCATGACTGGCTCAATGAGTGTGACTCCAGTTGGAAATATGGATGAGTAGTTGTGGAAGTGTAGCACACACAAAATCTCTGGAGTAAAATACAAATATGGCGAGTCTTTACATTTTTTAGAATTATATTACAGTAAAAGATATATTGCCATTTGCCCTTTTCAAAATATTCCCCTCACTTCAAACATGCTCATCTTTATAGTTCCTATTATTCTCTGGAGCAGCTCTGGAAGCCCTTCTTCATGAGGATCATTATTAACTGGAGTGTCATGGCTGCCTTGACATCCTGAATCTATGAAAAATATTTACTTTCCATGGTCATTTTAACTTTGGAAAAAGAGTCAAATGTCAATGGTGCGGGGCCAGGGAGATAGCTCAGTAGAATAAGCGCTTGCCTGGCAAGTGCAAGGGCCTGACTTCAATCTCCAGTTCTGCCTAAATAAACAAATAAATAAATGTCAATGATGCTAGATTCAGTGAATGAGGTCACACTATAATATTTTTACAAGTTTGCCTTTCCCTTTGGTGGTACTTGGTAGCTGCATTCACATATTTTTTATCATGCCTCAAAAAGACTCATAAAAGAGAACTTCCAGATTGGCTTTGTGTAACAAATGTAGATGGGGGTAAGGGAACAGGAGAGTTTTCCATCACTACATTTTCATTTGCTGCATGCATTTGAGAAGGAAATCTGTATTAGTTTTGTTATCAGGCAAAATGAACAGATACTTTCCTTGTGGGGAGAGGAAAGGAAATCTCATCAGAAAACAAGGCAGAGCTCCACTCAATGTTGTGTCTCAAGCCCAAATTCACTCAGACTTCCTCGCTGCCCGCCTCATGCAGCACAGCTGTAATAGCAGGAATGCCTTGTTGAGTGATTTCTTTCTTTTTTTCTTTCCTTTCCAGTGCTGGGGATTTAACCAGAGCCTTATGCAGATTAGGCAAGTAAGTATTCCATCACTGAGCTATACCCCCAACCCCTTATCTTGAGACACAGACTTATAAGTGATGCAGGCTGGCCTTGAACTTGCCATCTTCCTGCCTCAGCCTCTCCTCCTGAGTAGCTGGGATTATGGGCATGCACTACCATGCCTGGTCATACTGAGAAACTTTTCTTAAGTACTAGGTGTCAAATGAAGTTTCACCTGTATTTGTCTTTCTCAAGGACACCTGCAGTTTTCTTTGCAATAATTCCATAATATTGCTACCCTGCCTCTGCCCCAAGCATACATTTAATATCTCTTGTTGCCTAGCACTGCTTAATGTTTTTACATACATTTTCATACTGAATAACAATTCCAAAATACTAAGTGGTTTATTTAAAAAAAAAAAAAAAAGGATTCTCTCAGTGAGGCATAAGTCCTTAACAGAATATAATACACAGGTGCCCACTGCTTCCTCTTACTTTCGCTCTCCTGCCTCTTAATTGCCTCATTTACCTGACCCTTACCCTGTGCTATGGTTGGTATCTTGATGGCCCCGCAAGCCTCCCGTGCCCAAAGGTGGGGAGAGCAGGGTGGGCGTGACCCAAAAGGTTGTATCTCCCTCCCCAATGTTGCCCTTCACTCTCTCTGAGCTCCCTGGTGGCTGAGAAGTGAGTGGTTGTCCTCTGCCACACTGCCCTGCCTGGAAGCCCCCCAGCTACAGGCTGCAATCTCTAGTAGACTAAATCTCTGCTTCTTAAAACCCAGGAGCTGGGGGTTGTGTGTCAGTGATGAGAAAAGTGACACAGACAGCTTCTGAATCCTTCCCATTCTGTATGTTTTTACAATTTTTCTTCCTCATCAATAGATTCTCAACTATCAATCTTTACTTGTTCATAAATGTAAGTTGATAAGGAGCCCATGGAGGAGACAGAGCTCCACAGCAGGAGCCTAAGGGCCAGAGATCACAGAATAACATACACATCCTGCGCCCAGACTCAGACGCTGACTCTCAGCTCTCACGGACACATACGCACACACACACGCACGCACGCACACACGCATGCATACACACCACGTTACTTAGCAACATGATTTTCCTCCCAGATTTAGAACAATTCTTTTTGGAAAAGATAACTTGCATTCCTCTTACTCGTCTTGGACCTGGTTGATTTGATTACGGGTGGCGCTCAAGCTGGCGCTTAACTGTTCTATGTCTTGATCCCGAAGACTCTGCTCTTTCGGTCGGTCTCTATCAAACGTGTCCTAGAAAGATACACAAATCAAAAACAGTCCATATGAGGACCTGATGGATTGCAAAATACTGTTCTGAATAAAAAGTCAGGAACAAAACAGCACGTAATATATGGCTCCATTTACATAAAGCGCAAAATTAATCTAGAAGGACAGAAATCGGAAGAGCAGCTGCCCAGAGGGCGTCACAAGGAATACTCTGGAATGATGGAAATGTTTATCTCTCAGTAAGGGCACAGGTTACATGGACACAGGGATCCACCAAAAACCAACAAACAGCCAGTGGGTTTTGCTGTATAGAGATAACTTGACTTTTAAGACTTTCAAATAGTATCCTACATCTCTCTACCTGAGGTAACAGCCATGATGAGTGAAAATCTGAGAAACATCCAAGCTCCTCAGGGGAAAGAAAGTGCGTACTGACAACTGACGCCTACAGAGCGCTTACCATGTTCCTCTGCGAGGAATTTGGCAGGCTTATTACATTTCACTCTTACAGTGACCCTATTAGTAGGTCATCCAAATCACTGTCCCCTCTCAGCCATTAAGGAAAACCAGTACAGAAGGTTAAACCCCCACCCAGTACCATGGGGGAGGGACTGGTTTTCTGTCCAGTGATCTACACGCAGGAATCCTTTGGCCACTGTCTTATAAGATCCTCTTGCTTTCCTACTCTAACTGCTTCAGCATTAGAATTTATATAAATCAATTTAAACATTTAAAAGTAAAGTTACTGGACCTGAGTGTGGTAACACACAACTATAACCCCAGTACATGGTAAGCTGAGGCAGAAGGGTTGCTGCTTTTGAGGCCAATCTGGACTACACAGTGAGTTTAAGACCATAAAGCCCCCATATAACTACATAGCAAAACTCATCTCAAAAAAACAAAGGAAGGGGCTGGGTAGATGGCTCAGTGGAATAAGTGCTTCCCTGGCAAGCACAAGGGCCTGAGTTCAATCCCCGGCTCTGCCAAAAAAAAAAGGAATAAAAAAAATAGCAAAAAAGGAAGTTACTGGTTGCTATTGTTTGGATATGGATAGGTTTGAGTGAGTCTCTCAAGGTCTATGTGTTAGAAGTTTGTTCCCGGGGGATGACAAGGTAAGAGTTGATGTGGGGGCTGGGGATATGGCTCAGTAGAATAAATGCTTCTCTGGCAAGCACAAGGGCCTGAGTTCAATCCCTGGTTCTGCCAAAAA